CCAATAAAAATGTCTATTTCAAAAAAGACGTTGCCAATGACAAGTCCTCTCTATCTAATTTTCTTTGTAAGATGACATTTTGGCTTTTTTATACTTAGTTAGGTGATTACATTTTAGGAGAAGCAGTTAAATAAAGTGGTCCAGCCCTGGCCAGTGTGTCTCAGTGATTAGATCACTGAAGGGTCACAGATTTGATTCCTGGTCAAGGGCACGTACCTGGGTTACAGGTTCAATTCCTGACCCTGGTGGAGGGGGGAGACAACTGACCAATCAATGTCTTCTCACTCAAGTGCTCTCTCTCCTCCCTGTCTCCCTCCATCCTTTTCACTGTCTCTAAACTCAATGGAAAAATATCTTTGGGTGAGAATTAACTGACATACATACATACATACATACATACGTAAATAAAATAAAGTAGTTCATTAATAAGTATGTAGTCCTTTGACTACTTAGCGATTGATTTAATTTTCTATAATAAAAATGAATTGTTTATTCTCATTTACTAGTACATTAAAATAAAATGTACTTAGCCTGTGAGAGGACAGAACCATAATGTATAGAGGCCTAAGATGGGTTCTCTAAACATTTTAAACAGAACTTACTTTGAAACACTTGAGACATTTAAGCCCCTAAGTGTAAGACTGCTTTTAAGTACTTTTTTTCTATAGTAAAGTTCGGTAAAATATCCTGGTGGATTGGATTTTGATTAATTGGTGAATAGAAGGTACAATGATCAAGAAATAAATAACATGCTCTGGCTGGGTAGCCCAATTGATTAGAACATCATCCCAATATGCTACAGTTGCAGATTTGATCCCCAGCCAGGGAACATATGAGAATCAGCCAACTAATGCATAAATAAGTGAAACAACAAAAATTGACATTTCTCTCTCTCTTTCACTCCTCCATCTTCTTTCTCTCTCTTTCTCAAATCAGTAAATAAAAATTAAATAAAAAGAAGAAAATATCACAATTGTCGGAGAAAATAGTAAGAGCTTTCTATTAGAAAGGAAATAAAGAACACAATTAGCAGTGGCCAGAGACAGAACAAAAATACATTTGATAATTACAGTCTTACTTGGGTGCTGCAAGGATCCTGATCAGGGAAAACAGCTCTGCCCATACATGGGTCCTGGAAAGGTTTCTCTCCGGAACCACCTAAATGAAATAAAAACTCAGTTTTTCTGTTTCAGGATGGTAACACAGGTAATTAGGACATTAGTTTATATTCTTCTGGGCAACTCTAATAAAAAAAATTTAAAAAAAGCTACACTCTTAAGTACATGGAGGTAGTCACCAGGCCATTTAAGACACAGTATCCAAGAATAATGAGCAATCATGAAGTTCTCATTCTTGGTTTCTGTCTAGTAAGTACTCAGAATCCTTTTTTTCTGGCCTTGCCTTCTTCTTAGGTACTACTATGGGGATTCCAGAAGGTGACAGGGTTGAAAAGGCCTCCTGGATCTCACACAGAGAGACTTTGCTCCAGAATCACCCTCAATGATCCTTCAGTATGGATTAAGTTCTTAAACTTTTTCATCTGAATTAGAGGTATAGGGATGGCTTACAGTAGTCAAAGCTGTTCTCGGCACTATGGTCACTCCAGTCCTGGCATGTCATGAAGCCCACTGTACTGGCCTCCTGGCTCAAAGATGTCACCATGGAGACGTCTGACTGCGATTGTGACCCGCTGCAGGTGAGCAGTGCTGCACTGTGGGCACACTTCAGTTTGTCCACCGGACAACCTCTATGGGTCGTTTGGGCATTCAGATATTATGGGCTAAACCAACTGTCCTCAAAGCCATGGAAGTGAGAGGGAGCTCTGGCCTTTGAGAACTCAAAACAAACCTCATGATGTTGAGGGCTCAGACCAGAAACAAACATAGCCACAACTTCAGTTTAGTTTCTTTACCTATGGATTTCAATTCTGTTCTCCAACTCAATATTGAAGAGAGAAACTGATCTCTCATAGAGGCAAAGAAAAATTTGTATGGAAGCAAAAGAAAATTCCCTATTAAATGAGTTTACGTCATTTTGTAGTTTAATTTCTATGTGATATATTACCTTAGCATGTTTGGCCTAGATTGTCCTAGTCCTTAATGACCTAGTTTCACTACACTTAGAATTCCATCATTCTATTTATTAATTTTTGTAGATAATGAATTAAAACCAAACTTCTTGGTTTTTAGAATTGTTTCAGAGGAATCATTTCAGAATACTCAGGAATTATTTCAGAATACTTCCTACTTATACCTACCACCAGAAGTGTACTAACAAGTCAATGTATAGGATCAGACACAAATTCAACTAACTACAGTCTTGAAAATTTTCAGATGGTGGCAGAGTAGAAGGATGCTCCCAGACACAAGACAGAATTACAGTTGAAATATAGAAAGGCTTCCTGAATAATCAATGGAAAACTCATAGGAGAGAACCCTGCTACCCAAGGTCTGAAGGTGGAGACTGCATAGAGACTGGTAGGAGGGCTGGAGGCACCAAAGGGCAACTGAAGTCCTGGAGGGATATCTCAGCTGGGGGGAGGGGGGAGGGTTGTCACTGAGAACTCTGGGATCTAATACCGAAGCTGGTCTCCCCAGCAGAGAGCACCAAACTGAGGAGGATACCCACATAACATCTAGCTGTGAAAAGCAGAGAGGTACTGTCTGCCAGGGAGTGGCAGCTGAAAGTTCAGGCACCCTCTTAAAGGGCCAACACACAAAAATTTCCTGTGGAGCCACCCACCTTATGCTTTGGCAGAGGGAGGGTGAAGTAGACTGGAACTGTGAGAGCAGAACCCAGGACAGGGGACTCAGGGGATAGAGCTCAGAAGGCAGACACCCCAAGTTTCCCGTGCTGAGCCATTCCCTCACACAGTGGAGGACATCTTTCCCACATAGACATCTGCCTTGCCAGGGGGAAAGACAGTCAACACATCTAATGGAAAACGCCTTGGGGGAGATAAGAGATCAATCGAAGGACTTGTATACATGCATATAAGTACAACCAATGGACACAAAACTCTGGGGAGGGAGGGTATGTATGGGGGGGGCAATGTTAAAATATGTACACAGATAATAATTTAATTTAAAAAATGGAATAAAATAAAATAAAACAAAACTTCACTTAAAAAAAAAAAAAAAAGTAACAACTAGCCTCCAGGCAGAAGCAACTGCCCCATCCAGTTGAAAAAACTCTGAGGAAGATTGCCTGGGGGCTATTCAGAATCCTATTAGTCTGTAGATGGAGGTGGTCTCTAGAGGCTTTGAATCTTTGCTTGATCCAATTAGTCAGAAGCAACCTTTAACACTTTAACATTAGAGATTGAGAGGTATAGAGGTCCTACCTAAAACATAGTCACAAACCCAAACAGACAACAAAGTGAGAAAACAAAAGAAACAACCCCCAAATGAAAGAACTAGCGAATTCTCCAGAAAAGAGATAAATGAAGCAGAGATAAGAAATTTATATGTAACAGAGTTCAGAATAATGATGTTAAAAATGCTGAATAGTGTGAAAAAAGATATAGTAATTATGAAAAATGAACAGTCTTAGATAAAGAATGACATAACACAAATAAAGAACACATTGGAAGGAATACACTTTTCCCTTTTTTAGGGAAAGCTGAGGATTGAATCAGTGTTTTAGAAGACAGAGTTGAAAATATCACTCAATTAGAGAACCAACAAGAAAAAACAATTAAAAAGCAAGGGGACAGCTTAAGGGACCTGTGGGACAATGTGAAATGTAACAATTTTAGAATAGCAGGTGTGCCAGACAGTGGCAGAAAGGGGTAAAGGAATTAGAGAAAATGTTTGAAGAAATAATGGTAAAAAACTTCTCTAACCTGGTAAAGGAAACAGTCACACAAGTTCAAGAGGCACAGAGAACTCCAAACAAGAAGAACCCAAACAGATCCATGCCCAGACACATCATAATTAAAATGCCAAAAATTAAAGACAAAGAGAATCTTAAAGGCAGCAATAGAAAAAAAAGTGTTACCTACAAAGGAGTTCCCATAAAGCTGACACCTGATTTCACATCAGAAACTCTATAGGCCAGAAGGGAATGGCATGAAGTACTCAAGGTAATGAAAAGCAAGGATCTGAGACCAAGATTTCTATATCCAGCAAGGCTATCATCCAAAATAGATGGTCAAATAATTTGCTTCCCAGACAAAAAAAAAAAAAAAAAAAAGACTAAAGAAGTTCATCACCACCAAGCCAGCATTACAAGAAAAGCCAAAGGGATTGCTATAAGGGATTGCTGAGAAGAAGAGAGAGAGAAACCTAGCCATACAGAATTTAAATGGCTATAAATAAGTACCTCTCAATAATAACCCTAAATGTAAATAGATTAAATTCTCCAATCAAAAGGTGTAGGGTAGTTGAATGGATACAAAAATATGATCCATCTATATGCTGTCTACAAGAGACCCACCTCAAAACAAAAGACACACACAGGATGAAAGTGAAGGGGTGAAAATTTTTCCCCCCATGCAAATGGAAAAGAAAAAAAAGCTGAAGTAATAATACTCATATCCAACAAAATACTCATATCTTTAAAAGCATCATGCTAAGAAAAATAAGTCAGAGAAAGATAAATATCATATGATCTCACTCATTTGTGGAATATAATGAACAACATAACTAATGAACAAGAATAGAGTGGTGGGGGGTAGTATATCCTATGAACTAATAGAAGTAATCCTGTTATTTGCAGATTTTTAATATTTCCTACAACTTTTGTGATTTATTATGTTAGTACAATTTTGGTAATATTATTATACTTAAAATCCTTTTATTCTTGAAATATTAATGTATATTGCATGTAATATATGTAAGATAATTTTCTTAAATAATTGGTGTTTATTGCATGCAACATTATCATATTTAAAATTGTTTTTCTTGAGATATTAATGTTTATTGCATGTAACATTATTGTATTTAAGATAATTTTTTCTTGCATGTAACATTATTATATTTAAAATTGTTTTTCTTGAAATAAAAAAAAAGAAAATTTTCAAACAAAAAAAAAAGAAAAAAAAGAATTGTTTTAGAAGACATGTACAAACCCCTTTGGATGGGTCACATTTTTTTTTTTCTTGGTAAAATGCCTTGAAATTCTTCCTTCAACACCATTTCTTGCTGCTGCTGCTGCTGCTTCTTCTTCTTCTTCTTCTTCTTCTTCTTCTTCTTCTTCCTCTTCTTCAAAATAAATTTCTTTATTGATTAAGATATCACATATTTGTCCTCAACCCCGCATCCAATCCCTGCCCCCTCCCCACTTATGCCCCCTCCCCCCTATTGTCCTTGACCACTGGTTAGGCTCATATGTATGCACACAAGTCCTTTAGTTGATCTCTCCCTTTTATCCTCACCCTCCCTCTGAGGTCCAACAATCTGACCCATGACTCCTTATTTCTGGGTTTGTTCTTGTTCATTAGTCTTATGTTGTTCATCATTTCCTCTAGATGAGTGAGATCATGTCCTACTGGAAATATACTAGTAAGAATCGAAAATGAGACAGGCAATAATGGTTATGATGAAAGGCAAATGAATCAGTTTTTAGTGAGTTTCTTTCTGGGCCAATAGCTCTTTTGAGACCCAATTTCAATGTCAAACAATTCCTTATGTGTACTTGTCAGCAATGATATTTCACTTCTGGATGGTGAACTTCTTTATCCTTACTTCCATGTAGTTTGTTCTGATGTTTTAGCTCATGGGCAGGGGTGGTGGCAGTGAGGTGTTTTCATGGCTCAAGGGACCAAAACCAGAAATTATGCAAGTTAAGAATCAGTGACTGAGTCATTATAAGATGTATGAAGAACATTAAAAGAATGAATCCCAGCCGGTGTGCCTCAGTGGTTGAGTGTCGATCCATGCATCAGGAGGTGGCAGCCATTCCCCAGTCGGGGGCATGCAGGAGGCAGCTGATTGATGTTTCTCTCAGCAATGTTTTCTCTCTCTCTCTCTCTTGCTCTTCCTCTCCCTAAAATCAATAAAAACATTTTTAAAAATAAAGTAAAATCAGTGAATGCAGCCTGAAGTGGACACAGCAAAAGGGTAAGGAGACTTGATTTCTGCTTTTATGACTCAGGTGAGATTTTGAAGTCACATGACCTCTCATATATACATCTTCTTTGATGTATCATAAAATGGGTGTCATATAATCTACCTACCTTTCTCTAAGAAGTGCTCCCATTGAATGATTAAAGAAGAAAATATTGCAACACAAAGATTTTAACAATGGTTTACTGAGGCACACCAGCTGGGATTCATTCTTTTAATGTTCTTCATACATCTTATGATCACTCAGTCACTGATAATTGAAAATAAAAACTGTTGTTGAAAGGTTCTTAGAGAAGAAAACTGAAATCACTTAATTTCTTTTTCAGCCATTTCACTTTGGTCTCATCATCTCTTTAAAAATGAATATGAGCCCAACCGGTTTGCCTCAGTGGATAGAACACCGGGCTTCGGACTGAAGGGTCCCAGGTTTGATTCTGATCAAGGGCACATGCCTGGTGTGCCCAGTAAGGGGCATAAAGGAGGCAGCTGGTCAATAATTCTCTCTTCTTTGATGTTTCTACCTCTCTAGCCCTCTCTCTTCCTCTATGAAGTCAATAAAAATATATTAAAAAATAGATTCCTTTCAAATTTGGCCTTGTAAAGCCAATTAATTGTAAAACTGTTAAGCATATTTCTATTTGACCCTTCCCATACATTTTTACTGATTTCACTGTTAACTTGTCTTATCTTTCTGGTCAGATCTCACAAACCAGAAGTCAAGGGACCATATCCAATTTCTCCTTTGTAATGCCTCAATGCCTATAACAATGAGTGTACCTGGTATTACTCTGTAAATACTGATGTTACTTGTTGCCTAGTAATGGAAGAGGTTAAAGTGCTAAATGTAAACATGACAGTGAAAATTTTGCCCTTCAGATAGACATTTTGTATGGGCCTAATGATTCCTGAGAACTATAAAACTAATTAAAAGCATCTTGTGCAAATATCTCATGATATTTATGAGGTCAATTACATAATATCACATGATATTCATGGGGTCAACTACATAATAAGGAGATAGAAAACAGACATGAGAATATACACAATTACCCTGTTTTCCCGAAAATAAGACAGTGTCTTATATTAATTTTGCACTAGGTCTTATTTTCAGGAAATGTCTTATTTTTCCATGAAGAAGAATACAGTACACATTTATTGTTAAATGAAAATAAAGGAAATTTATTACCTGTATATGGTATGGTAGTACAGTAATTGTCAACACAAACCAGACAAACTGTGAATCCTACAGTATCAAGAATTTACTCATTTATTCAATGACAATCATGTCATCATCTTCTGGAACATCATAACAATCCAATTCCTGAACTTCCTGGTGAATTTCTTGTGACTCCATTTCTTTCAGAATCAGTGGACCAAATGTCTCATGTTTAGCCTAGGGGGGCCTTATTTTCAGGGGAATGTCTTATATTTC